AACGTGAAAATAGCTGGGAGCAATATCAGGGCTGTAGGTTGGATGATCAAACAACTACCAGCCAAATTCCGTCAAAACAGCCGCTGTGCGTCGTGCCGTATGTGGACTAGCATTGTCATGGGGGAGCGCAACACTTGCAGTAAGCATTCCACAACTCTTGTTTTGAATGGCACGTCACAATTTCCCAGTGTTTCACAGTAACGGTCACAGTGATGATAGACGTCTGTCACACGCTGGTTTCATTCACAGGCGGCAGAGTTCTACGACAGAGGGATACAAAAGTTGATGCCACGATACGACAAGTGTCTCGATTCTGGTGGTGGCTATGTTGAAAAATAGCTGAAAAATTGCTGCATTAGTTGCCAATAAATATGTTCCTGAAAGTGTGAGTTCTCTTTTTAAAAAAAATTCGGGAAACTTATTTTCTGGATACGCCTCGTATAATACAAGTAAAAAAAGCATTGAAGAAAGTATTTTTTATGTACCTTCTATAAATACAAATTAAGTAGTCAAATCACTGTAACGAGCTTTAAATAAAAGAAATGAATCACAATCTAAAATATCAATATAATGGAAAGAAGTTTGAAAATTTGCTATGCTTAGAAAGCATTTCAGGAAGAACGTAATGGGAAACCAACATTAAAAATAAATTGTCGACAAAAAGCATATTAATAAAGTTAGCATATACAATGATTAAGTTACACAAGTTTTGATGTGAATGTTAAGAACTTTTTGAGAAAGAAATTAAAAAAATAAATAAACAGTAATGATTGTACAAAGTTTAAAGAAGATACACTAAGCTTCACTTGTCGAACGAGTAAAGTTTTTTAGGTTCTGAAATCATTTATGAAATTTATTTTGTTTATTTCGAAGTAATTAGAAACATGCAAGTGACGTCACTACAGGTAAATCATGGCATTTGTCGATTCAAATGCCAATCAGGTTCGATACACACGCGTGACGTCGCTCACAGGTACTGAATTAAATCTGATTTAAACCACATGGTTAGACGTAATCACTATAGTTCTTCTCGAGTTGCAAGCACCGAATTATTTAGTTATAAATCACCAAAATCTACAAATTTTACCTCGAATAGGCCATCAAGTTTATTTCATTTTGTAGACGAAGAGCATTGCTGGCTATAAGAAGTTACTTTAATTTAAGACTTTTTTTAATCGGAAGCTATAATAAGAGTTTTAAAAAGGGTGAATTTAAAATATTAAATTTTTATAAAAATAAAGCTTCTATGCTTTTGAGTTATCAAGTCAAAAGTTCTTGCATAATTTTCTATTTTCATGAATTTTAATATAATAATTATTATTAGAACGAACAAGAAATCATTTGAAATCAATTTTTTTTTTGGTATCTTAAGTATGATTTTTCTGGCTGTATTATTTACCGCGCATTTGGTGAAATTTGTACGATTTATTACAATTATTTTGCCACATGTATCATTTTTAATTATTTATATTCCTACAACCTAATTATTTATACCCCTACAGCAAATTATAAAATAAATATAAATTTAAGTTGCTTTGATTAACAAGTTCAAAAGTTCCTATATAATTTTTATTCTCATTTTTCAAGAATTTTTACATATTAATAATTTTTAGAACAAGCGAAAAATCGTTTGAAATCAATTATTTTAAATTAACTTTAAGATGATTTTTTTCAGCTGTGTTATTTATCACGCATTTGGGGAAATTTCTGAGATTCTTAAAAAAAATTTTGCCAAATTTTTTTATTTTCAATAATTTATGTCCCTACAACCAGTGCGACGTAGACGCAATTTTTTATATACATAATTTCACAATCAAAACGAAAACTAACACTTTCGTTAGTAAGGAGCAGAAATACGTAACATGAATACAGAAATGTCGTAAAATAGAAAAAATTAAAAGCGTGCATTTACTGTTATTAAAATTTTAAAAAAGGAAAAGAATTTTGAAATATTTTAGAAAACACATTAGAAAACTAAATAAATACTAATGACTTTCATTTACTTTATTTACTACTTATTAAATTAGAAAGTTAAGGTGTTGTAATAACTGTACATAATTGTACAAGAAAAAGTATTACCGTAATAAATTAGATGTTTAGAGATATTTTTATGCCTAAATTATAATAATAACAAATAAATTAAATATTAACCACAGTGATAAAAATTTTATATTAGATTAAAATTATTCCGGAATCACTACCCACAGTTTATCATGTATCTAATGAAGAAATCTTTCTATGCGATTTTTTCCCCGTTAGTAATTTTGTAAAAAAAAATTATTATTTTGTGAGACATGAATATTAAAAAAAAATTTAATTGTACGTCTAATCGATTATTTTTCATTTTTTGAGACCTAGTGATGCTTTAGAATGTTTCAATTCACCCATAGTTGAAATGGGTCCTGCAAGTACGAAAAGGTTGCTGACCCATTAATCTGTAGGGTGAAGAACGATAAGAGTAATGCAAGCATGTACCTATATCCCATCACAATTTGGAATAAATGTCCTGATGATTGTCTGGAAGTATGCCAAAAGCACACTTTTGGTTCAGATTTCCCATAAACCTTAAGACTGAAAGTGTTACATTTATAGTGCTCCTCCACCAAAGTATCCTTTATGTTGTCAAAAATTAGATAATGTTTAGTTGTTTCTTACTTAGTAAGCGAAAACAGTATAAAAAACATACTTATATATTGTTTTAATAAGATAAACCATAATAATGCAGACAAAACATACTTTTAGAACCATTTTAAACATACTCTATTGCTCTGTACAGTACACAAAGTAAAAAATAATAAATAAATAAAAAGATTTTGATCTAGTGATCGGATTTTCACGCCAACTCAGTGGTTCGAGTGAAACTTTAAATAAGCTAGTTAATTTATGCAGAATTTTAAGATACGAAATTTGATTCAAGATGTACTTCCTATTGGATTAAGATATTGGATTAAACATATTGGATTAAGATACGAAACTTGATGAAACTTTCTCTGATTTGATTAAGATGCGAAATTTGATTCAATATGTATTTTCTCTGATTTGATTAAGATACGAATTTTGATTCAATATGTACTTCCTCTGATTCAAAATATTCACAACTGAGAAGAAAATTGTTCACAAATAAATTCCTTAAAAAGTGTTTATTGCGTTCCTATAATCGAACTTAATAATAATAACAATTTTTTTAAATCTTAAAATATGCAAATTTGTACGCATTATTAAACTTTGCAATTACAAATGACCAAACAAAAAATTTGAGCGAAATCGATATTTTTTTTTTAAAGCTTTTTTCCTTCATAACTTTTCGATGGATTCCGCTGAAATTCAGAATTAAGATATTTAAAACTATTTTACTTAAAATTTAATAACAATATTTTCATATAACTTAATTCAAAGTTTTGTCGACCGTTGTTGTTAGTTTGTTTGTCGATAAACTAAATATTAATAAAAAATTATAAAAGCGTATATTTTGTACGAATAAACGATTTTTTTCATTTCAAAAATGAGAACTTTTAGCAAAAAGTTTCTGATTAATTAAAAAATTTATAAAGGAGAAATTGCGCAAAATGTATAATTTCCTTAATGAGGTCTAAACTTTTTCCTGATTTGTTGCGCAAATCATTAATTTCGAATATTCTTGATAGCAGATTCCACGATATTTCGAGGAACAAAATACCAAATATATCGAAAACAAGCTTTGTTTATTCAAGGAAAGTACTTTTGTGGTTCTAATTTTATAATATTAAAACCTTATCTGCACTAACTAATTAGCAAACTGCAGGTCATTGTTTCAAAGCCATTAGAACGTGAAAAACCTACTCAATAGATCAAAAGTTGCTCAGAATGTTATTGATTTTTATTACTTCGTTCCTTGCGCAAATAATAGTTTAATACTATCTTTATATCACATAATCATAATAAATATTATCACATAGAAATAAAACAAGCAGTTATAAACATCGAGTAAACATATAAAGTTGAAATAAAAACGTGTATTTTAAAAGGTAAACGTTAATCGGTGTTCTGATAAAAATTCATTTAAATATTTTCATTCTAAAGCTTTTTAAAATGCATATTTAATTTAAATATTTTACAGACTTTCCAGTAGTTTAGAATAAAACAGAAATTATCAGTTTGCATTCAAACAAGTTATTATTACTGTTGCATACTTTTTTCCTTAGAATAATAATACTTTTAAAAAACTCTCATACTTTCGGAGTGATTGTTTCTTTTTGCCTTGTAATTCAATGTATAAGTTAGTTTTAAATTTTAATTAAAGTCATTAAACTTTTATTTATTTTTATATGAATTTAGAAAATATAGTTTTTATTTTTGTGTTTTTTAATTATAAAAAATTAATGAAACGTTTTCAAAACGTTTTTAAATTTTTAATTATAACCATTGCGCTTGTTTTTAAAACAATTTGTATTGCAAGTTTCCCCCAATACCAAGTTTCCAATCTTTTATATTGTTATCTAGTTTTTAAAGTAAAAACAATTCCTGATAAATATTACTTTTTAACATTGACAATTGTTTTCAATTTCTTAGATTTTGCAATTGTTTCGGTTGAATTAATGCAAAACTTTTTTCTTCTTCTTTTCCATTGAAAAAAAAATTAAAATTTTGAAAAATTGGAATTGAAAAATTTATTGAATTTTCTGATAGAGTTAATATCATTAAATTCAATAAATTTTTCATTTAACTATCTTTATCAGAGTTTTCTATTTTTTAAAGCGAAATATTTTTCAGATAAATATTACATCTTAACACTTGCTAATATTGATAATTGTTTCTGAAAAATACTCAATTGACTTATAACTTGCAACTTTATTTCAGAACCTTATTAAAATAACGCACGCACTTATAATATTCCTTGATTAAAGTATATTGTTTAACTTCAATTGGGGTAAAAAAGCATAGTTTGCAATCAAATAAAAAATTCATGCAACTAAAACATTGAAATGCCTTTGATATTTGAAAAAAAAATTATAATTTCCTACCTGTTATTCTAATTAGGAATTGCACTCGATATTGCAAATGCAACAAAATGTTCTAATTATTGCAATTCCGTTAGTCGTGCATGCTTTAATGCAATTGATGAGCGGACGCATTTGCAATGAACAGCAACAGAAGTGGACGCAAAATCTCAACTGAAGTATTATACAGTTAGTAGACGCGCTAGGCAAAAAAGCAGAATGTGTACTATTCTCTCGTTCTCCTGAGCCAGAACCGGTGAGCCTCCCTTCCTTTAAATCGAACACCTCTTCCAAGCTGGGGGTGAGGGATTGCTATAGCAACGGCGCATGCGCCATAAAAACGGGAAAAGTCTTGTGTTCCGCGATAATTGTAAGTTTTGACGGCGCTTTTTTTCGTTTTTACAATAAACATCGTTTAAAAGATCGTTTTTTCCCCTAATTTTTTTTAAATCCAATTAGAGCAAGGATAGTGGGCTGTATTTAATAGTCAGGTAATTTAAGAAGAATAGAATCAAGCATATAAATTCTGACGTCATGGCTTACCTGGGATCTTTTGAGAGTTTATCTTGCCAGGTGAGGTTCTTCTTAAGGTTTTGGTTTGCATATAAATAAATAAATAAGCAAAATATTAATAACGTATACTTTTAACGCCAGAAATTTTGAAATCAATATTTTTTTCTAGTTTTTAAAAATATGAAAATTTACGTATCTAAATGTTGGTAACAAGGTACAAATGGATATAAGAACAGGAAAAAAAGGTAGGCGACAAAAGCCTGCGGATAATATGAAAAACGTGGTTAAAGTTTATATGTTTATTCTTTAATATTCTTAAACCATTAAATAGGAGAGATAACCTCAATTTATAAAATATGGTCGGTCCAAATAGTTTAGATAAAAGAATGCTAGAAAATTACAGCGTTATAATATTAATTTCAGTTTTTGCACTTTTTGTCATGCATCTCAAGCTACGTAATAAAGAGAAGCAAAAAAAAAATCTGCTAACAGTTGTAAAATTTGTTTACTTATAAAAATTTGAAGCTGAACCAAAAATTTCAAAAATAATTTATTATTTCGTATTTTTTATTTAATAAAGGTCGACATATTCATGAATTTTAAAACACAGATACAAATTTTTTCATCAGTTTTAACTACGTAATTTTTGAATGACAAAATAAAAAATTAGTAAGAAATCAATTGAATACTTTCTGAGTAATTAGTTTTAAAAAATCGTGCTTTTAAACTTCTATTTCTCAAAAATTATTCCATCAGCTGCGTTCAGAACTTGGATTTTCTCAGACAAAATTACTCAGCTTAAAATTATGCTAATATTTGTGTACCTTACAAAAATACCTTCAAGTGACATCACGCATGGGTCAGCCAATCAGGTTCGTCACGCACGCGTGATCTCGCTTGCAGGCATCCAATTAAATCTGGTCCGAGAATTGATTCAGCATGATAATAAATCAAAGACAAAAAATTGTAGTATTAGCGAGCCATCTACAGCCACGTGATTAAATACAATTATCTAATTAGTTGTAAGTTCCCAATTCAAACTTCTTCGAATATTATTGCGTTGAAAAATAATAAATAAGCATAAAGATATTACTTTTACATTGAAATATCTTTGATAAAATGAATTTCACAGTTATGTCAAAACAATAATAAATTCTTTCAAATAGTTCCAAATAAGTACAAATTGAAACCAACGTTAAGGGACCAAAACTCTTAATTGCTCTTTTCTTGCCACAACTAGTGTCCAAGTTTTTCAGGTATCGCCATCTTCATATTTAGATAATCAAACATATAAATCTCTCAGCAATTTATAAACAATTATAAAAACTAACGATTTAAATGAACTTATTTTTGGACAAACAAGCTCTAAAATTGAATACGAACATTTTTCAATTCCAGGGATATGGTGAAATGTAAACCCACATTAAGGAGCCCAAACTCTTAATTGCTTGCTCTTTTACCTAAACTGCAAGTTTTTCAGATATCTCCTTCCTTCTCATTCTGAGAGTCGAAAAAATTGTCAACAAATAATAAAAGTTATAAACGAAATAACTATAATCATGGACTTGTCTTTAGATAGACAAGCTTTACAATTGCATGCATGAATTTTTTCATTCACTTCAGTAGTATCGGAGATAGGGCGTAATGCGCAAATATTGAAATTATCATAAAATGAGCCGAAAAGCTTTATCACTTTCCTGTCAAAACTATTGGAATCATATTTTCCAAACTGCGGCTAAGAGCCGTGATGGCCCAGGAGATAGAGCGTTCGCTAACCGGGTTCGAATCCCAGCGATGGCTGGTCGATACGAATTCCGCATCCGGATTGCACCAACCACAGTGCTGACGTAAAATATTCTCAGTGGTAAACGAATCATGGGTTAGAGTCTCTCTGCCGTCGGGATAACCAGGGCGGTTTTCCTCTCCATGTAACGCAGATGCGGGTTAGTTCCACTAAAAAGTACTCTACTGAGACAAATTTCTCCCAATACTCGATCTAGGAGTTCAGTTGTCTTCTGGATTGGGTTCAAAATTACAAGGCTACGGAATTGAACATTAGCAGTCGTAATCCCAAAAAATTGAGTCGACTGTTCAACGACAGTTATAAAATAAGAAACTGCGGCTAATCCTCATGTTTTGACAGTCAAGGCTCCAAATCAGTCGAAAAAAGATATGTTTATTCAGAGAAGTACATTTTTGAGAATGATATCACTGTTTAAAATATTATGTACACAAGAGAAATAGCTTCGATACATTAAGCTTTAATCTTAAGGCTTCAAAATCTGATCATTAGATCGAAAACTAAAAGAAAAAAAAATGTTAACAAAGCACCCAATATTAAAACACAAATCGTTTGAGAAAAATAATCTATTTTGGTAAAAATATTGTGGAATTTAAAACACTAATAAATCTTTATTTTTCAGTATTTCAATATGATTTTATTCCCAAAAATTTTTTTTTAAAAATAATTCGTTTTTATTACTTTAAAAAGATTTTTAATTCGATATGGATTTAGTAAAAAAGGAAAAAATGCCAAATTTTATTTGTACAAATATATTTTTTTATTTAAAATATTTATTTATATTAGCGAAAAAAAATTATAGAATGAAATGTCTTCTAATTAACGATGAAAATATTCAAAGCAGCTTATATATTTCCCTCGAGGAAACTAACATTATTTTCAGGGGACAAAATCTTGAAATTTGAAACTGCGTGGTTGCATTATGTGGGAGATGAATATAGAGTTTTTAAAGATTTTTTTACAAGAAATGCATACAAAAGCAAACATTTAAAATCTTTTGTCTGCCCACATGATTAAGAAAATATATTTTATGTACATAAATTTAACGTAAGCAAATAACTTAAATATAACAGAAATAACAGAACTTAAATATAACAGAAAATAGCAAATAACAGAAAACTTTAAAAGTTAAAACTTTTTACGAGATATTTTATATATATGTATGTAAATATATATTTATTATTAGATTAGTGAAAAAATAATAAATGGAATAATAACGCGTCAATGGAATAAAATGGAAATTTCATAAATTTAAAGAATTTCTAGTTTCAGTAGGAATAATTTTTATTAGATTTTGTTTTTCTCAGCAGTTTGAAAAAAACATTTATAACTCAAATCTGAATTTTTTTTATTCATTTACCAATGTTCTGTAGTCGTTAAGTTTCCGTAATAGTAAACTAATATTTCGCAGGAGAGAGGTTTTACTTTGAACATAACTCAAAATGTATGCATAAAAAATAGGCATAACACAAAATGCGTAATTTTGAAAATTGACATTAACCCCATAACGCACAGATTTTTTGAAAAAAACGGACCAAAAAAATTTTTTTTAATGTAAATAAACAAACTTTAGAGCTTGGTCTTTTTTTTTTTGGTGGACAATTTTGATATACTGCTCTTCTGTTTCTAGGAAAAAGGCTATATCCAAAGATACCGCCTACTCCGGACACGCCAAAATAATTTTAAAAAAACGGTAAATAACTACAAAGTAAATTTTTCAAATATTTGACTATTTCTTCTTGCTTTTTAAAAGGTATAACATGACATAACTATAAAGTGGTGAATTATGTAAGCCTATGAATTATTTAGAAATAGTAATGGATAAAATCTACAAAATTGAATTTATTAAACCAAGAATCACAATTGATAAACTACCACTTTAAAATATATATTTGCTGTCCGGAGCAAGTTGGCATCTCTGTATATTTTATTCTTGAATAAATAAGCGCTATTGCTCACAATCCAATGTAAATGATAAATATCAATAAAACGATTTTTTTCTCTTAGCTTTCATATTGCTATTTTCAATTCTCGATTATATTCGAGTGTGAAAAATTACAGCAGCATAAAATACAACGCCGCTCGAACTATTTCGAGTGTGCACAGTTTGGCCTGTTCAGGTGGCTCGAATTAACTCTAGCGCACAAGTTTAAGGGTTAATTATTCAAAATGAAGATTTAAGCAAATAGACGCAAAACAAATTTTCGTCACGTAATTATAATATTGAAATATATTTTCCTTTGCGAAATAAATACAAAGTACATTCATAAAATGCACGAAAAACATCATAATTATAAATTAGTGTACTTAAAATATATTATACTGAAAATTACTTTTCTACCACTTTCAAAACGACATTTGTGTGTTATAAACGCTTCATATTATATAAAAACAGGAATGTTTAGATTAGTAATTTAGTATATAGCTGAGAGCAAATAAGCAGATCCAGATTACAAAAAATATAGAAAATTGGATTACTGTAAGAACTTGCCATGAGAATGTTTTTAAGTTACTTCCCTTCCCTTTTCAAAGGCCTATAGGATTCGAAATTGTAGTAGTGCCTATTATAATATAAATAGCGTGTTTAAAAGTTTTATCTATTATTTTATTTTATTAGTTTTTTTTAATTTCTTCTAGACGGTAGAGTCATATATGCATTCTCAGGGAGGCGACAACCAAGGTAAAAAAGATAAAACTGGTAGACAAATTATTTTTGTAGAAGTTTATTTGTGGGTGGGAAAATAATAGTTTGCTTTATTTAATTCACCACTACTTAGTTCAAGTTAAAAAAAATATATAGTTACATACCAGCCAACTTTTGCGCATTTGGCGTAAAATTTTATTTTTATATTTAAAGTGGTAGTAAATATATACTATTTTTTTCTTTTATAAACTTATTTTTTAAATGATTTTGATCTACACTATTCTCCTATAA